TACTCTTCTGCGTCATCATCACCATCATAAGCAACAGCATCACCATCATCAGCGTCAGCATCAGCATCAACCTTATCCTCATCAGACTGATCATCACCGGCGGCGTCAACGTCATCATCAACAACAGCATCAGCAGCATCATCAGCAGCAGCGGAAGATTCAGCATCAGCATGTTCGTTCTTATCAGAAGCAACAGCAGCAGCAACAGCATCAGCACCACCAGTATGATCAGCATCATCAGCGTTTGTCTCCCCCAAAGAAGACACGCGATGATGACAACTGCCAGCTTCCTAACTGATGAGACGATGACTCCACCAAGCAAGCCTAGAGGTGGTCGGGACCCCTGCCCCGACCAGTGCAAAGTGATGGCCAGGCCCACTTATTCGTGCGACGACGAAGAGACCAAATATGCAAGAAGGCAGAGAGACACCAAGACTACCAAGAGAAGGAAAGAAGAAGAGGAGCAAGATACCGGGAACAGCCCACTGGTAGACTGCTAAGGGCGGGCCGTAAGGTGGAACCATGGCTTGGGAGAGCGCAGAGCGACGTTGGGTTATACCCCAACGTGCCAGTGCATACGTGTGTGTATATATATACATATGTATACATATATATATATATATATATATATGTAAAACAAAAAAGAAAACGATTTATATCGCCCCAGAAGCAAAGCCAGAGAAGGGAGGAAACGGAGAAGAAGGCATCACAGGTCGGACGGCGGGTAGAAGAACATGTTGAAGTAGTAGCCGCCCCCAGCCAGGATGGAGGCCGCTGGGCGTCTGGCGACGGGACGGGTGCTGGCGCACTGGTATGGCCAGGAGGCCCCTCAGCTCAACGGCCTGAGCGGGGTCATGCGTTGAATTCCGCCTCAAGGCCGCGATCATGGGAGGGCGGGAGGAGTGGGGTGAAGGCGCCAGCCAGAGTCGCAGGGATAGGTAGGAGGAAACGGCGTTAGTGGTAGCGGGAAAGAGATGGAAATCCTGGTGGTACTGGTCGTTGGAGGCGGGGTTTCCCGTAATCGTGGTGTGGCGGTCGGCGGACCGTGAGTCCCCGCTGCCAGCTGGGTTATAGTCGCTGCACCGGCGTCACGGCGGGAGCCGGAGTCGGAGCAGGAGTCGGAATAGGATAAATAGCTGGAGTCGGGGCTTCTCATGGTCGTGCTGCTGGCGACCGTCCGCCACTCCTGGTCCTCAGAAGCACTGGGCCAGAGCATCCTTGCACGCGCAAGTGTGCTGCTGGTGAGGGGGCTGCAGGTGGATAGAGTCGCTCGTCGTGTTGCTAACGTCCGTGGGATGGGCGCCATTGTCTTGGTCAACCTTTTCCTCTCGGCCATGTTTAACTAATAGTTCTTCCGGTGCGTTGTTGTCAGCGGCCCCTGGGTCTTGGAACGCACTTCAAGAGAAAATGGTGAACTCAAGACGGTGTCCAAGATGCCGCTTCATATGGATACCGCAAGAGGCCGGGGATGGAGTCGGAGTCGGTAGGGACTTTGGAGCCGCTGGATATCGGAATGCCGAGCTGGAGGCTGGAGGGTAACCGGTCGAGGTGGGAATGGAAGTCGCACGCTGGAAGCTGTGAGTCGGAACGTTGAGTGGCGGAGGCTGGCCGTCGATTGGTGGAGGTGCAAGTGGGTAGCCCGATGCTGGAGGTTGGCACTGAGCTGAAGGAGACTGGAGAACGGGGGCCGTGAGCCGGCGCAGGCGTCGGTGCTGATGTAGGCAGTGGTCGTAACGGACTGGTCGCCCATAAGCCCAAGACAGACGCAACAAAGTCGAACCAGGCAGGGATGCAGGCGCAAGCGTTATTGCTACCGTCGGAGCTGACGGCTACGCTGGCGGAGGCTCCGGCGTCGGCACAGGCGTAGGCGTTGGAGTTGGCGTCGGTGCTGGGGCAGGGACTGTCGTTGGTGCCAGCGTGCGCGCTGGTGGTGCTGGCGTCGGTGGTTCGGCAGGCGTTGGTCGTAACGGTCTGGACGCCCATCTGCCCAAGCTTGACACCATGGTAGCTGGGATGGCGGTGACGCTGTATATAAACAAATCTTACGGGGGGCAAGATTTGTTCGCCGCTTCTCGTCCGTCGGCAATGTTGGTGCCGGTGCTTGTGCGGCATTGGCGCTGGCCTTGGTACGGGTGTCAGTGCTGGCGATCTCGCTGGCGTCGGTGCCGACGTAGGCGCCAGCATTGATCCTGGAGTCGGTGCTGGTGCTGGCGCTGGTGTGGGCGGTGGTCGTAACGGTCTGGA